TCGATCCTAGAGAAAAAAAATGAAGTAAAGACCCCTCAAGAGAATAAGAGATATAACTAAAATTGACTAAAAAGGGACATAAGTGATAATAAAATGGTTGATAAAAGGGAAAGCAAAAGAAAAAGAGGATTGAAAAGATCAAACACCAGAAAAGAAAAAATCGAGAATGAAGAAAGGTCAACCATAAAAGATAGATTGACTTAAGAGAAAGATAAATTAGGTGAATTTTGCAGGTCAATGTCAATTTGAGCACACAGCTCTTTTATGCTCAAAACCCATTTTCTTCTTGTCCGAGCATTTTCTTCATTTTATCGCTACCTTTTTTTAGATAGCATATTGAACCAATAGGCCATCTTCTCATAATTACAACCCTTGATAATTAATGGAATCAAATCATCATCTTGCTGCCCATACTGACCTCTTATATGTTCTATCTACTAACTTTCGACCTTTCTAGTACTCATATTATAAGACATGATTAAGAATACGTACTAAAAAATGTGTAAAAAAAAAATTTTAAGGTCAAAAAGCTTTTGAGATCAAAATATTCAGGTCGAATTGAGAGCAAAAAAAACAAAAAAGGAAAAAATTAAAGCCGTAGTGGTCCTTTATATAAACATGCAGCAAATTAGACAAATAGCATAGGCCACACCATGTGTTAGAGCAAAGACAAGAATACATTTTTTTGTCTTCCCGCTTTAAATTTTCCCGCTCAGACTACCTCTTTCCTCATTTAATGCTATCAGACTGGCTTAAATGGGCAAACTTAAGGTCAGATCGATTGAATTGGATGACTCTGCGGGGTAAATCGATAGCCTAGTTCACTGTTAGAGTTCAAAGTGGAGGTTCAAATCCAAGTTTTTTAAATAAAATATAGTTTCACCATGGCCAAACGAACTCCAACACTAACCTCAAATCATTTCGAACAATTATCACCTCAATAACCTTTAAGCTAGCTATGCATTAAACCCAAGATGCACGTGCAAGATCAAACAATAATAAGGTTGGACCATGGCTTAAAACTAGTTATCCCCTAAGACCGACTTTCCTTATAACGTCGGCCTCAAAAAATCAAACTTTCAAGTTATTTCCTTCAGTCGATCTATCTTACATTAGAGATGTCGATCATACATTTAGCGTTCTGAGTTTGATAAAGAGATAGAGTGTTAGGGACATTTGATGGTCAAAAAGGTATAATGATCTTTTTTTCCTTTTCTAAACCTTCAACAAACAATCAAAAGTAATTTTGTCATTTATGTCGACTTGACATGTTCAGTGTCATATTAGCTTGACACTGTTTTTATTGTCCTCTGATGATCCTCCACAGCTTACCTATAAATATGAAGGTCCATGCACCACTAAAGCAAGTTGATCCTACCTCATTTCTCTTTTTTCTACCCCTTTTCCAACCTAAATCTTTCTTACTTATGCATTGGAGTGTAAACAAAAAAAAACATACCCTGCTTTTGCCTCTGACATTCTTTTTTTTCTTCAACTTTTTCAAGAACATCCCAAAGTCGAAGCTTGGCACCAACAATGCTTTTGGAAGAAGATCTAGGCCACACAAGTGCCAACAAAAATTGGAGTCATGGTCTGGCGCAGCTACCATGGCATTTTACCTACCATGCAAAATCTCCAAAAAAGAGGTATTATTGCTTTATGCCCAAGGCTTGGGGAAGAAGCGGAAACAGTACTATACCACGCACTCAGATGGTGTCCAAAAGCTGTTGAGGTTTGAGGGTGCTACAATTTGATAACGGTATCATGAGCATCTTGACTGATATAAAGGATTGGATAAACAAGTTTTGCATGAATGCCATACCAGACCAGAGGCAGGCCTTCACGATCACGGCTTGGAGCATATGGGGGGAGCGTAATAAAAAGATGCATGGAGGTACTGAGAGGAGCGCGCAAGAGGTGGCAAAGCACATAACAAATTACAGCTTGGAATACAATGCAGCCCAGTGTCATTCACAAGGAGCTATCACTAGGTTACGAGATGGAGGTCCTCTGACCCGGATAAAGTAAAGGTTAATTTTGATGGGGCGTTTGATAACCAGTTGAAAAGAGAAGGGATTGGAGCAGCGATCAGAGATGATAGGGGGAACTTGTTGGGAGCTATAGCGAGCATGTTGCTGTTCTCAACAGACTCTTTTCAGGTGGAGGCCCAGGTGGCATGCCAAGCTCTCAAGTTTGCTTTGGAACTGGGGTATAAGAGAGTTATATTGGAAGGAGATAACTTTACAGTGGTGAGGAAGCTGCGAAACAATGATCTGGAGCTTTCACCAATAGGTAATATAATTGAGGAAAGGTAGGGATATGTTGGCTTGCTTGGAAGATAGCAAAGCAATATCTTGTACGTTCCTAAACTGGGGAATAGAGTGGCCCATGGCCTAGCTAAGTGTACTAGCAGAAAAGCTTGGGTAGGTGAGAGAGCCCAAGCTTGACCTACCCAAGCTTTGTCGTACCTTTGGTACAGTTGGAAACAATTTCCTCTATTTAATAAGAATGAAGATTTTCCTTTAAAAAAATAAAAAAAACATATCAATATAACTCCACGCTTAGGCTTCGGACTACATTGGGTATGTTCTTACCCACGATTTAAATTTTATTTTTTTTTATATTTTTTATTTATATTAAATAATAATTATATAAAATAAAATATTTTGAAAGTAAAAATTTTAAAGTATCGATAATCAAAATTTTTTAATATTAACCTATAAAATATTCTATACCATTACAACAAAGAAAAACATTTTTTTAGTTAAAACCATTAAATTTAACAAAATTATAAATTGGATAAGGTTTTTTAATATTTCTAACAAAAATATTTTATAGGTATTCATTCAAGTAATTAGAATTTTTTTAAAATTTAAAAAATTTTATTAATAATTATAATAAAAATAGCAACACACTGTTTCTAATAAAAATCATCATAATTTATTAGCTTAAGCATTGGCTTGACTATGATCAATCAAGCGCCCTTACTGCGCCCAGCTGGATGGGGTCATATAGGCATGAAACAAGAACATATAGAAACAATCCAAATTGATATGTTCAAGCCCACTTCATTACCTAAACCCATGCTCTTTCCATCAAAACAAACAGGTTTTCCTTTTTTTTTTTTTTTGTTGGATACCTCAAATTTTAATTTTTTGGGATAAATTATATCAGTCAAATCTAGGATAAGTTTTTTTTTTTTAGATCAATGATTAAGTAAAGATTAAAATTGAAATAACCATATGCGAAAATTTAATTGAAAATATTATCTATTCACAAAATATTTTATAACTAGTTTTTGAAGGGTGTAAATTTTGATTTTATTCTTAATGAAAACACTTATTTATATAAAAATTTATTTGAATTATTTAAACTTTTGTATACTTGTATTTAATAGGGTTTACCAATTTATTAATTTAAATTTTCAATATTTATTTTTATTTGATATTTGTAATGAGGAAACTTACCAGCTCAACTTGAATTTTGTTCAATTACCTATTAATATTGCTAGCTTCACATTTTAGTCTTCTTACAATGAATTTTTGAAGTCATAAACTATAGTCATATGCTCATTACCAAATCCATAACTTAATTCATTTCGTTTATGTAATTACTTTTAAAAAATAATATTTAACAAATTCAAAATTTTAAATTTAATCTTAACACATGCATTCGCTTCTCTTATCTTTAAATTATAATCTTTTTAGTACGAAAAATGCCCATTACCATTCATTAGAGAGTTAAAATCGTCCTCCCTCATTGATGTTATCCAAAATGCAAATTCATATCTATGATTGAGAGTTTTTTTTTTTTTTCGGTGATATCAAGTTTAAGAGTAGGAGAGGTTATCATATCTCTAAGGATAAGCCGTGAACTCATAAAATCATTTCTTTTTAGGATTTTTTGCATTTATAAATTATTTATTAAGATAAAACTGTGAAGATTGAATCTAAGTACTTTACGCTCATATCTTAAATCTTAATTATTTACGTCATGACCACTATGATTGAGAGATGAAGTAATATATATTTGCCCTAAAGATTCATTCCAAAAAAGGTAAGGGCATTTATATTTTATATTTTTATACTTAAAATATTACAAATTAAAATTTTAATTATCTGTAAAGAAAACATGTAACTGTTGATGTGCATGTGAAATTTCCCCTACCTTGTTCAGTTTTCACCATGGCCATTGGCATTTAGTAGCCCCTTCCTCTTCTTTCCTACCATAAATAGTTGGTCCCAGTCTCTGCATGTTTTCACGTGTCCTGCCACCGTTGATAACACCAGCAGCTACTGCATAGGATTCTAAGTACCCCCAAAAAACAATAATACATACGCATTTATAAAGTATCCTCCCCCCCCCCCCCCTCCCTTCCCTTGTTGGTGCTTTGCCTCAGTCTCATGCCTGGCAACTATATCCCACTTTCTTTTCATTTAATTAATTTCCTTTTTTTTCGTCCATTTAGGCATTTTTCACTCATGTGTTTATCCCATTTGAATGCTAATAAATCTTCAACATAAGATTAATAAATAATAATACAGATCAGATAGATTGTCATGTACAAACAAGTTCGACAAATATTAATGTTCCATAAAGCATTATATCTATATACAAACAAGTTTTCATAATTAAAAAATCACTAAATAGCAACGTAAAAAATAGTTTAAAATAGTAATATTACATAAGCACATTTCCTTTCATAAAGGTTTTATATGTTTGAATTTTTTTTACAAACTGCAATTTGAAAATAAAAAAAATGCTATATATGATATGATTTAAATTTTAGATTGATTAAATGTTATTTTTTTAAAATTATGATATATATAAATTAATTAAGTTAATTTTAAATTTTAAAAATTTTTTATTCATGGCTTAATAACAATAAAAAGATATACATGTAAATATCATTTTTAATGTGAATAATGAATCTATTAATCTACATTATATTAATATTTATAGTGACTAATTTTTAAGTATTGGTAACAACTATTTCTTAATCTAAAATTTCAGCAACTTAACCTTAATTGCACATTTATGACTTGCCCTCTGATTGGACAGTGACTTCACTTCCCACCAAAAGGGTGTGGTGGGCTATCTTTTCGCTTCCATGATAGGACAAAATCCTTGATAAATGAGAGAGAGAAAGAGAGAGCGAAAGGGCATTGGTGTTTTTGCAGCAATTCTGTGCCTCCAATTTTTACAGTGCGACCAAACCAAAAGTCCAAAAACAAAGAGGAGAGAAAGATGAAGCCTTAGAGAAGTGTAAAAGAAGAGGGAAAAAAGGCACACAAAAACATAACACACACACTCACTCATAACATAAACACAAAACAAAAATGTTTGATGGAGTACCAGATCAGCTTCAGCAATTCATAGCCTCAGCAGCAGCAGCAAGAACCAGAACTCATCTCCCTCTCCCTCTCTCATTCCCTTCTCTCCATAATCTTGCTTCTTCGAATGGTTTCACTCCCTTTGACCCTTTGTTCACTTCAAACAACTCTCATCATCACCAAGTACCCCCTCAGCTGCAGCAACCTCACTTTTTGCACCCATTGCACCACCAGCATCAACCTTGCCAGAAGAATAATGAAGAGAAAGATGAGAACACCAGCTTGGTAGGTATGAACATGGAGATTGAAAGAGAGAGATCCATGGCTGATGAACCGATTGATACTCATCAACCTTGGTCTAATGATGAAGTTCTTGCACTGTTGAGGATCAGATCTAGCATGGAAAATTGGTTTCCAGAATTCACTTGGGAACATGTCTCAAGGTATATAATGTAAACTACATATTCATTTTACTGCTTCTTGGTGCTATGTAAATTCAGTAGTGTATTCTATATGTTTTTTTGTTTGTTCCAATATGTAGAGTCCCTTCAAAATTTGCCAGTTTAGGTTCCATCTCAATTGAGCTTAAGCTGATGAAACTTTGATTAATGAAACAATCAAATTTGATATTTAAGCATCTACATGCCCTTGTGGGGAATATCTTCAATATATATATTTATGGGCAGTTGTTAATAAAAGAGAGAGAGAGAGAGAGAGGGAGAGGGAGAGAAATGGGACTGATAATTCAATAAACAAAAAAGCTTGTATACTATTTTATAAATGAAGAGTATAGTAAAATAGAAAGAATAAGTGTTTAATGTATAAATACAGACAGTGGTGTCTGTTGGTTTAATTTTATCTTTATTTATATGGTGGGTGCAGAAAGTTGGCAGAGCTTGGGTTCAAGAGGAGAGCAGAGAAATGCAAAGAGAAATTTGAAGAAGAAAGCAGATATTTTAACAGCATCAATTGTAGCAAAAACTACAGGATATTTAGTGAACTTGAAGACCTTTGTCAAGGTGAGAATCCTCCTTTGTCTCAACCTCATCATCATCATATCCAGCAGGTTGTTGCAGCTGAAAAGAACAAAAATGTGGAAAAGTCAAGGGAAAATGAAGACAATATGGGTCAGAATTTGGAAGGTGATTCAAGAAATATTGATGAATATCAAACTTCAGCAGGAAATAATGCATCAGATCAGGATAATGAAAAAGTGGTTGAGAACAAAGCAAATAATAACAAGATCAACATCAGCAACAAGAAGAGGAAAAGACAGAAGAAATTTGAGATGCTCAAAGGGTTTTGTGAAGATATTGTGAACAAGTTGATGAATCAACAGGAAGAGATGCATAGTAAACTTCTTGAAGATATGGTGAAGAGAGATGAAGAGAAAGTTGCAAGAGAAGAAGCTTGGAAGAAACAAGAGCTGGATAGGCTTAAACAGGAGCTTGAACTTAGAGCAAAAGAACAAGCTATTGCAGGTGATAGACAGGCCACCATAATCAAATTCTTGAGTAAATTTTCATCAACTGGTTCATCTAAAAAGCAATGTTTTGGAAGGAGTAACGAAGATCTTGTCAAGGTAACAAATGAATATTCAAATCCTCCTAGTACTTCATCTTCTTTAGTGCCACCACTAAACCCTAATCCTACTGTCAATAACCAAAACAAAGTAGATCAAGTTTCTACCACTACTTCATCTACCATGATCCTTGGTCATCAAAATTCTGGTTCTTGTACAACACAAAACAATCAAATCAAACCCACTTCCATGACAGAAACCCAAGCCCCTGAAAACCCTAATCCAAAAACACCCACTTCATCAAAACTAGCCCTAGCTCCCCAAAACCCTAATTCTGTCAATGCTCAAAGCAACCCATTATCACCCACTTCACCATTGACAGTAAAGAAAGCTCCCCAAAACCCTCCATCCAATGACAAAGAAGACCCGGGACAGAGATGGCCAAGAGATGAGGTGTTGACATTGATAAATCTGAGGTGCAGTCTTTATAACAATGGTGATCATAACAAGGAAGGAGCAGTTATAAAAGCTCCTTTATGGGAAAGAATCTCTCAAGGGATGTTAGAGTTGGGGTATAAGAGAAGTGCAAAGAGGTGCAAAGAGAAATGGGAGAACATAAACAAGTACTTCAGAAAAACCAAAGATGTTAACAAGAAGAGGTCCCTTGACTCTAGGACATGTCCATATTTTCATCAATTAAGTACTTTGTACAATCAAGGAGCACTTATAGCACCCTCTGAAGGGCCGGAAAACCACTTGGATTTGCCAGAAACCGGTATTGATTCATCTCAAAAAGGAGCTAAGGATTCAACTCTGAATGTTTCTGAAGGTGACACAAACATGGTTCAATTACCAGCTTTTGAATTTGAATTCTGAATCACATTGCATTTTTGTGTGTATGTTAATTGAATTACTACTAGTTTATAATCATAATTAATAACATTATTAATACTATATATTAGAATTAGTATTACTTTTTTGGATGATATTTCATTTTAATCTTAGAGATTAATTTAATATAAGATTTCTTGGAGGATATATCTTTAAACTTGCATTGTAGTGAGCACCGACAATTTGGGAAATGATGATTTAATTTCATGTTAGTGTTGTCATTTTATAATTGCTATTTTATGCTCCTAATTTTTCTATTTCAAGAGAGGCTTTTTGTTTGCTATATGTGGGGAGGAGGAGGAGGACCAGGAGGACGATGAGGGACAGGATGTTTCGTGGCCAGTTCACTGTTTCTTGCCAAATAAAATAAAACAATGCAGAAAGAAAATTTGGAATCTTTTCAGCCAAGAAAATGCGGTTAATTTTGTACACTAGTTGCTGGAAATTCAGAATCATAATATAAATATAAATAAATATATATATATATATACATATACATATTGTCATAACATTGATAAAAAGTTTATGAAAATGCAATAGCTGCTAAATAAACTAAGTAGATTAATTTTTTTTCCTATGATGGTTAATAATTTTGCTTATATTTGTTGTTCAACATTCCAACCATGTATGCATTTATTTTTTCCAGCCTTTTTATTTATATTTGTAGGTGCCAAAGTTGCAGCCAATCTTAATTGACAAAATTGAATGCCAAATAATACAATTCATAAAACTAGATTAATATATGTAGCTAAGGTGCCATCTTATAATTAAGTGAAATTAAAGGTTAACAGTTGAGCATTTATATAATGAAATTCATTTTGGTTATATATATATATATATATATATATATAAAAGATCATAACATGGGATAAAGGAAGGGATTGTAGGATTGGAATTTAAATTTGAGATTTGTTAAATGTCATTTTTTTTAAATAATTGTATGAACTAACTTAATTAAGTTTTATATTTTTTTTGTACACTTCATTTAAGTGAACTTAATTAGATCATTTTTATTGAATATGAAATACAGATAAACTGATCACTAAATCAAATATTTAAATTATACTAGCTGAGCTAATTGATGAATAATAATTCAAGAAAATTTCTATTGACATAAGTTTTATAATCTTTAAATAAACTTTGGGGAAATTTTTTTGTTAATGTTCTAATCTTCAAATGAACATTTGGAGAAAATAAAAGAAATCTATATATAAGAGTTGAATTTTAATTAATTTTTGTTGTTTTGAATTCTTTTGTTTTCTTGTTCCCACCATGAGAGAATACAAAGACAACGCAAAGCAATGACATAATGTTTCTGAAGGGCTTTTGGGACCCACAACATGACCAAAGTGATGAGAGAAAATGACATTTCTAGAGGCATACGGTGAACGTCCCCAACCAAACCAACCCTTGTTATTAAATATTAATTTCCAAAAAATTAAGGGGCCCTTTTCTTTTGTCTTTTATTAGTACAACCTCTTAAAAAAATGTAAAATATGTTTTTTCTTACTATCTTTTTATAATTCATTTTCTTCGCATACCTTAGTAAAACGTGCACATGTGATGGTATGTACTCAAGAGCCAGCTCCATATGCAGCCAAAGATCTAAGGGCTCACAAATAATTTGATCATCATAAACTCAACATGACCAAATTGTGATCCCCATCTGATTTCATTATTACTACATATTTTTTTTAAAAAATATTCTTCAATTTGACTTGGGTTTTTTCTTTTCTTTAGCATCTTGCTGATCTCAAAATAATTTTTTTTTGTGAGTTTGTCTTATGTCAATTATGTAGGGTTTTTTCTTTTTTTTTTTTTAGTGTTGACCTTCATAAAAGGGAATGTGATCCAAAAAAAAAAAAACTTCTCCATTCTCTTGTTTTTATACATAGGATTTTGGATTGATGCATGAATTTTGTGTGCTTCATAATTCTGTCTCACAAGTCATAAAGCTATGCTAAGAGGGGACCAAAATTGACACCCCTTTTGCAAATAAGGGGGTGAGGAACTATTTTCATGTCTCTTTCTCCATTGGAAGCATGTCTTTTAAATTTTATTGATGTGAACATGACATTTTATGTATGTGAGACCTGTGTTTCTTAAAAGAGACGTGAAAATAACAACCACATAATGAAATCGACAAATTAACTTACTCGATAAGGTTTTGATGGTTATATCATGAATGCGATTGAATCCGACTTTAATAATGCAACTTTTAATCAAAAAAGGCATTAAAATGATTGAGGAAAAAAATTTAAGCTTGAATCATGTAGTGATTAACCAAGTGGAGAAGAAAAATTAGCTTATTAGGCAAGGTTTTAGACTTCAAGGCCGCTTTATTTAAATGATTGATGAAAATTTTAATAAAAAAATGGTACAATCACAAGATAAAATTTTAATCATGCGAACGTAACAAAAGGTTGACTCGATTATCTAGTCAACCATTTAAAAGGATAATTGGACTTGGATTACTTCAAGCTGTAGGGCTAGAGGTTAAGGGGTTGAGAAAAAAAATCAAGAAATCTCAAAATTAATTTAAAATTATAATATTTGATGTAGATCAAATTCGAATATTAATTGTATATATTAGATTCGGATCGAATTTCATGTTGAGATATGAAAAATAGAAAAAATAAAGAAAAAAACCGAATTGCATTATATATATATTTTTATTTTTATATATTTTTTAAAATTTTTATAAAATAAAAATAATAATTTTATATCAAAATTTATTTAAATATATTAAAATAATATATAAAAATTAAAAAATTAAAAATTGATATATCGAACTGAATCGAATCAAATCAATAAAATTAAAATTAATTCGATTCAAATTTAGATCCAATTTTAAATTTTTATAATATTATATAATATCTAAAAAAAAAAAATAAAAATTTAATCCGAATCTAATCGTTATTACCTCTGGTTGAGGTTACCTCTCAGTCCTTTGCAAAAGCGAATTGTGCCTGTTAACTTTTGGGCCTTTAGGCTGCTTGTAACCTTCCTTTTATGGAGGAAGGGCCATGCTTTTGATTGGGCCCAAACTCAATTGTCCAAAGTCCAAACCCAAAAAATGAAGAAGTAAAAAGCAAAGTTTTTGAGTTTTGGAACCTTTTCGAAGGTGCCAAACAGATTTGTGGTACGATCATTACCACCAGCTGCAACTGTAGGTACGATATTTTACTTTGATTAGTAATTCAAAACACGAATAAGATTAAATATAATATAAATTAAAATTTTTGTAAAAACTATAAATTTAATATAAATTTAAAAATAATCTTTATATTAATATGAATTATAATTTTTATGTAAAATATATTATAAATACATATTTTTATTATTTTATATAATATAAATATACAAAATATGGTATCTAATTTTAACCATATAATACCAATTCTCCTTTCATATCATAGCCCAACATGTCCACCACCACCACCGTACTAAAATCTCAATCTCTTTCTGTCTCTTCTCTTTGTGTCGGCAACAATAAGTTGATGCCCCGCCTCCCAAACATGAATTTATCAACTAAAAATCCTTCTCAATTTCATTTTTATTCAAATCAATTATTTAAATTGAATTATAAATTTAAAAATTAATTTAATTAATTTATATATAATATTTAGTAAATTTATATTTAAATTTTTGTACTTATAACTTCTATTATTCTCAAATTACAATCTATTTTATATAAAAAAAATACATATATACATATATTTACTATTAAACCAATGCTCGATTCCAAAATTATTTTAACATTAAATACGAAAAATTCTTCGCCTCCGTAGAAATTTTTCATGATCATTGGTTAATATATTGTTAATACTTATTTTATGCTACTTTCAATTGTCTTATTAATAACAGAAAACACGATAAAATTTTATTATAAATATTTATTTTCATAAGTACTAGGTAGTGCAAATATCTCGTATAAAATCTAAAAATATATAGCCAATTAAAGGTGACTTTTCTAAGCATTGAAATGTCATCGTGGTTAGCACTTCTTGCTTACCACATTATTCTTTTTTTTTTCTTATATATTATCCTCAAAACCTTGTTGGGTACCACTCTAGCATTTAGCTTATCAATATACATATATACATATATATATATATATCTCTAAGATCAATGATTTGTATATTTATATTATATAAAATATTAAAATTTATGTATTTATATCGTATTTTATCTAAAAATTACATGTTATAATTTATGTTAATAAAAAAAATTAAATATATATTTTTGATTTTATTAAATTCATATATAATTATTATTAAAATTTTAAGTTATATTATTTTTTTGTTTTATTTTTATATTTTATTTATATTATAATATCATATCATATTTTAAATTATCAAATCTAATATATAAGTTATTCTTTTTATATTACATTAATACAAATATAAAAATTTGAAAAGTGTATCATTCCTACAATTGTGTCGTGTTCCTTTACATTTTTAAAAATTTAAAAAATATAAAAATTACATTAATACAAGTACATCATTCCTTTATATATATATATATATATATATATATATATTTATTTATTTATTTATTTATTGTGCTTTGCACCAACAACAAGAAGGTGGAAGGATCATTTTAAAAACTAAAGGGGGAAATCATTGTGGCAATGATTAAGGCCAGTAATGTCTAATTGCAAACAATAGGGGACTACTAAGTTCTACCCAAGATTCTTTTGAATTATACAAAGCTCTTTTTATTCTCTTTTAGACCTTTGATTTTGACTTATCTTTTGTTGGACTTCTTCCTTTCTTTTCTTTTTCATTAGTGGCTGGTGGCCACCTCATCACAAAGAGATCAATTAGTGTCTTAATAAGTGATATTTAAAAAATTAATTAAAAAATTATTCTTCCTTGAAATTTAATGAAAACAGAGTATTATAATATGCACAATTTTTTTTCAAAAAAGTAATATTTTCATCATTCTTAACACAATGTTTATAAACATACAGTTAATCTTATCCTATTATATAATACCATCTACTTATTTAAAGAGAAATTTTTTTTTTA